TTGGAAGCAAAGCATTAAGTTCTCGTGGCAAGACATATCAAGACTGAATGGAATGTGTAATGCAAGACAGCAGGGCCTTTACATCCATTTTCAGCCTTAATTGCAGTTCTGAATGTGATGTTAAGCTCTAGCATGTAAAAAATCCATCTTGGATTCAGGGAAAATTAGAATAATAGGTCAAATTAATTCTCTTTTGGTGGTAGTAAATTACTGTTAGTCACATTATTGTTCCAGTTAAGTTTGGAAATCTAGGTGTTTAGAAACTATAATATTTTTGTACTCATGCTAGTGAAAATTCACTGAGAAACCTGATTCCAAAGGTTTGATTTCATCCAGAATCACAAGCAAGTTTTTATTTGGAAATCTTCAGAGCATGAGTAGTAAATCATTCAAGGGCAAGGAAAAGTGACCTAATAAATTTTCATTTCAGCAACCCCTTTTTTACTGGTAATACTAAAAATAGTATTATAATGGGAGAGAGAAGAGGGAATGTGAGTTTTAAATAAGCAAAAATAATGAACTGTCTAGCTGACTCAAATTCTGCAAAAATACCTGTCTTATCCTCAGCCTTTATGCAAAAACTCTTCATATTTAAAAAATCCGTAAGTCCTTTTGCTGCTTTAATTGGTGAAGATGCCACTATTTCCAATTTATTTTAAAAAGAGTAGATCTACATGCTTTTCAAGGTCTCTTGATGATGCTCTGGTAGTCTCTGGATAATGCAAAGGGATGTTAACAAGTGAGAATTGGGCACAAAACCAGATCTCAAACTGATTTCATAAAGTATGTTTAACTTTCTCATGCACCATAACATGTGTGTATAGATGTACATAGACAGAAATTTTTTCATTTCTAAATCTAAAATTTATCTCTGCTAGAATTAATTTAATGTTAAAGTTATTATTAAAAACAATCCCACTCAAGAAATCCCATGATACTGAAGAAGGAAATGAAGCACCCTTTAATTGAGGCTGGTTGTCCTTTATTGGTCCATGCAACACTAAATATTTTTTTTATGTTGTTTAGTTATGGTTTGATTCATAAAAGTTTCTGGATCAAAATTTGTTCACATATTTGTTGTCATAGCTGAAAATTATTTTATTAGCACATTTGCTGTGTTATCCTATGAATTTCAAGAAGATAAAAATCCAGATTAATTTTAAAAAGCTGATTTTTTGTGTTTCAAATTTGTGTGAACTTCAGAGAGAATGCAAATTCATGCTTTTTTTTTCACTCACTGAAATCACTTGACTTAAACCAAGATTAATTTAGCAGAATATCTTAAACAAAAATCTTTTTGGATTATGAAATGAAGGAATAGAAGGAAAGGAAACTTGGCTTTGCAGAATCTAAAGCTGTCAAATTGGGTTTCATTGAAATCATAGTGACTTTGAATTTGATAGCAAAATACATTAATCTGACTTGCTTTTATTTTCTCTTAAGAATTCTTTGTAATTTTCAATACAGGTCTTCCTTGTCAAAAAAATCTCAGGATCAGATGCTAGACAACTTTATGCAATGAAGGTATTGAAAAAGGCCACCTTGAAAGGTAAGCATAGTTTAGAACAAGGGAAGAAAAATAAAAAAAGATAAATGAGGAACATTCTACCAAAACCTCATCTTTACACAGGTGTCGCTCTACAGATTTTGTCTCACAGTTTTGTTCCCTGAAACAGGAAACAGCAGAATATTTGTAATTTTTATATTGTAAATCTGGATTAAATCTAAATTTTAATCTAGGATTAAAAATACCACCTTGGTAGTTAAAGGGGAGAGCAGGTTCCTTCCCATGCTGCAGTCCCGAGGTGCTTGTGTTACATCTGCCACCTGACTTGCTGTTATTTGAAATTTAATATCCTTCCGTTTTCCCTTTGCTATGTGTCACCAAGGATACAGTTAATGCCTTTTGCTCAGTTTATAATGAGGTCATGATATTTAAACTTGCATTATATTGGCTGTTTTATTCTAGAAGTTCTAAGCACATGACTTCAAGTCTTTTTTTTTAAAACAGGCATATATATATATATATATATAGAGTACATTTTGGCCCATGATCTTGATGTAGAATGTACTTTATAAAAATCTAAAGTTATATCATCTAAGTTACTTCAGCAAAAAGAATTGTGAATTGATCTGTTTCTTGGGTGGTTTTGATCTTGAATGCTGTCAGTAGCAAAATAAGTTTAAGCTTGAATTATTTCAGAGAATTCTGTCTGGGAGAATTCTATAAGAAAAGAGAAATAAGGTGTTTTTTACTGTTGATCAAAATTAATCTTTTTTCACCAATACCTTAACCAGATTCTATGCATGTTCTTTTGTGCCATGGTTTAAATGTGAAGTTCTTCTAATTCATTGCATACTGAAATTGAAATGATAATTTTGGGATGGTTTTAGCTTGTAGTGCTGTACCAAGTTAATTACTGATTATTATGTTGAATTCCAGTTTTAACATATAGGTTTGTCTCAAAATAGTTAATAATGGAGGGAACAAAAATATTTAATTATGAACTTCTGCTAAAATATTGACTTTTTTCACTGAAGATCTAGCGCTGAATGTCTATCACACAAATCTTACCCTTGAAACTATTACAGAGAGTGTGTATTTGAACAATTTCCTATATTTTGACTCCTTTGTGGTTTGTGGCACGTGTCATTCTCATTATTTACTTCCTATTTTTCTGCAATTGATTTCCACTCATTTAAGGTACATTAATATCCTCAATAGCCCTACATTCCCCAGGCTGTTAATAGCTCAGGACTGGTCAAAGGTCACTCAGCAGTTGCTTTTTTAAGATGTTTGAGGGCTTCTCTTCATCACCTTTTGATTGCAGTTTAACCTTGAGTAAAAACTGCAGTCCAAGGTGTGGTTCTAGTTTTGAGACTGATAAATACTGAAATTGGGAGCATGATTTTTAATTGGGAAAGGATACTCTTTGAGACACCAAGAATTCAAGGATGCAAAAGGCTTGAGCAGAAAGGTGACCCCAGTTCTCAGTACTTTGAATCTTGATTTTTCAGGTGCTTTTCATGTACTGCTTGCTTGTGGTTCGTGTTTTAGGAAGAGCAGCGTTGTGAGCAAATTAAGGTTATTGCTGAAACTTTAATATGAAATTAACTGGAATTCTATTTTTCATAATTACAATTTTTTATATATATATGATGCTATATTTTTAATAATACAGTGTATTACTTGATTTTTCTGTTTTTTTAGCTCTTTCAAATCTATTTCATAGTGGGGTTTTTTTGTCCTGTAATTAAAGACTAAAAGACCACACTTGAAAACAGTGTATTTGATCCACAAATCTAATTTAGAGAGCCTTATTTTCTTAGGAATGCAGCTGTATTAGCCAGAGCACATTGATATAATTACACAGTTCAACTTTTTAATATTTAGAGCAAATCCAAGAATATATACATGCAGCTTTGTTTACTGCAGAGACTAGTTTATTAATACACTCTGCTGGAAGGTGTCATCTTTCAGTGCCCCTTTATGATGGGGAGAGACACACAGAGCCAAAACATTGCTAGAGTGTCTGGCWTCWAATGTATTAAGAAAAATCAGTGCTTCCAGTAGAATGAAACTGGAAATTACAGTCAAACAAAAGTCAGATGTCAAGCCAAATAATGGCTGCTGCTGTCTGAAATGAGCTCAGTTCTTTACACTTTTTTTGCTAGGATTTTTGTAAATCTGCACTTTCCATGTAACTGTTGCATGGCTGCAGGCACTTAAACATGCCTTTCAAATTTTTTTCTTAACTGAACGTGCCTAAAAAAAAATAATTCTGAATTTCAGTCTTGTCATTTAGATGAGCTACTGGAAGCCACACCACTATCTTGTGACATTTTAATGGCTTTAGATGCAAAGGTCAACACTCAAATGTGGTGTTTGTTCTGTGTTTCAGAGTTTATTTCATGTGCTTCCAGTTTTAGGAATGTATTCTATAGGCAGATGGGAAGTTGTTAGTTGTATTCATTCATGAAAATCATATAACTTTTTCACAAGTACCTGTATTACTGTAAGTGCCTCTTTCTGGGAGAAGATAAACACCTATATACCCTTTTGGTTCATGTCTTTTTTTTTTAATTTCTGCTTTGTTATGTTTTAATACCTGAGAACTCTGGCTTGTTAACTGTACAAGGATTGCAGTGAACTTAAACTTTGAATTGGAGTTCAATACATTTGTGAAAGGAGCAATAACAAAACATAGCATAAGAGAAAGAGAAATGCAACACCTTAAACCACTCAAAGCAAACTTTAATAGCTCTCACCTATGGAGAATTCTGAAATTTTTTTCTGTGTTCTGGCTGATTCAGAGGTTCAGATGGGAAGCAAGCACTGCCTGGAGTTGGCAGGAGAGTTGGGGGTCAATCTCTCATGGCATAGGAGCATTTCTGTGCTCAGAATGTGCCAATTCTGTGCCACCATGGAGGGACAGTGCAGGCAGCTTGAACAGCAACTGCATTTAATGTCTGATATGTTTCTCCATGGATGTTTACTCTCAGTAAATGTTCTTATTATCAGAAAGATAATCTGAACTATACACTACGTTGAATCAATAGCATTTTTATTTTAGGTTCATAATAAAGGAAATTTTAAAAAAAAAATTTCCCTTTCAAATTCTGAAGGAGGTAATATCTTAATAATGTGAGTTGTTTAATGAATTAAGCCAATATAAACTTCTTTATGATAGGATGATTATATTCAGTAATTTTTTTTGCTATCATTCCCTATGCCTTTCAGTAGTACATTGTTTTCTATACATAGCTGGGACTGTTTTGCCCTAGTATTTAAAGGGTTAACGAAGTATGGAACAGACAGCCATTATTTTTCCTTTCCTGCTTTTGTTAAATTGATTTGCCCAGTATCAGGTTTTGTCAATAGCAGAAACTGAAGCTAATTGAAATGCATTAAGATATTTATCAGAAAAAAAGGGTAATAAATTCTCTCTGTTCTCAGCTGTGTACAATGTATTGACTTGCAGACAGTTATAATATTATAGGACAAAATGTGAAGTACATCAGGAAACACAGGAGAAGTACAGATTCATAATATAATTTTTCTTTTTTTTATCTTGCTTGCTCATGTTCTGTTGCAGTTCGAGATCGAGTTCGGACAAAAATGGAACGTGATATCCTAGTTGAAGTTAACCATCCTTTTATTGTCAAGTTACATTATGGTGAGTTGCAGAAAAATTCATTTTTATAGTGTGAAAATGTTTGTCAGGCTAATTCCTAACATTTGTTTTGTGGTCAGAGAATCCTGAAACATTAGTGTGTTAAGTCCCAATTGTGCAAGGTTTGCTCTATAATAATTCTCTATAATAATTCTCATGCAATATAAGCATGTGGCTGACTTTGCAGTGGTAAATCTTTATAAAACTAAGAGTTTGTAGCCCTTTGTGTTATTGAAAAGCATTTATCTATTAATAACTAGCCATGATTTTCCAAAACATCTAATCTTTTGTGTGACACACGCTTTCTAAGTTGTTTCTTACAGTTGCTTTGTTTACTCTTAGAAAATGTATTCAATGGCACTACTTCCACTTGCATCAAAATCTGCCTTTTAATTTTAATAGTGTGAGCAGCTGTGGCAATAGTTAAGTGTAAGGGGGAGGATGTCACTACATTTAACATGGGAAAAAATGGTGGAGTTTCTAGTTTGGTTTGGTTTTTTTTTCAGTTCATATTTTTCTTTTAGGGTTCTTTTTTTTCCTATAGTTAAATCTCATCTCTCTCTTGCTTTCTGATGTGGCTTAAATGATGTACCTTTCACTATTTTACTTTACTAGACTAAATATCCCTGTTAAGCTGAGTTCCTAGACATTTTAAAAGGTGCACTAGTTACTAGTTTTTCCTTTTAAATCTGGCTACTTAATTCAAAATGCTGGCTGACCTAAATAAACTTTATTTTTCAAGAAAATTTATTGGTGATTTGCTTTAGTTTCACATCGCCTGGGAATTACTTGGTCCGTGATAGAAGATCATTTACCTAATTCATTTCAATACATTTTTTCACAAAAGAGAAAGAAGAATTCATTTGATAATGAAAAAAAGGGTGAATTGTTGGGTTTGTTGTTTTCCTGATCATAGATAAAGCTAGGTGATACTTATTTTTTTAATTGATTTTTTTCAGCTTTTCAAACAGAAGGGAAGCTGTATCTTATTTTGGATTTTCTCAGGGGAGGAGACTTGTTTACACGCTTATCCAAAGAGGTACATTTTCTTAATTTGAAAAATTGTTGATAAAATTTGACTATTATTTGCCTGTATTAGGAGAGTTTACATTTTAAATTCAGTTTTCATTCAATAAGATTTTAATCTGTTTTTAACCAGGTAGGTTTTTTATTTGGTTGGKGKTTTTTTGCATAGAGTGGTCATTTCACRAAAGTACTGATTKTACATTATTTCTGAAAAAAGTATTAGGCGAGYAGTCTTTCTGTGCTTCTTTTTATACCTGGCAAAATTTTCTTCTCCCATTTCTACCATGTTTAAATATGAGGCTCAGAGCCTGGATTTGTATAAAGTAAATGTGTTCAAATTGATTAATTGATGTCTAGCTTTAATGTCCAGAATTCACGGGCAGATATTTTTTTACCTATGAATTATTTCAATTTGTATAATTATTTAAAAAGAGAGCATTGTATTCCATTTATTTTATTCCACTTTATTTTTGTAATTTTCAAAAAGTGAATGTTTTGCCTCTGTCATCATGGTAATATATCTGTGTACATACAGGAAATAACAACTTTGAAGGGTTCCATTACCTCAATTTAATTTGATTACAATTCCTAAGTGTTAACATCTAATCCATCATCATATTTTTTTAAGTTTTTGTTTTGCATCCCTCCTGTTCAAAAACTTGCAACAAAAATACGTTAGGATAGAGATTATATCCAATGTGTATCTGATAGCCTGGACTTGCAGTTTGTAGCTGCTTTCCATTTTCCTTTGCTATGACAGTATCTGGGACCACTGCAAAGCTATTTTGTTATTAAGAGGAGAGTAGAATGGAATGCATTTTGGGTATAGATGTATCCTGATTTCTGTGCTGACCATAGAAATTATTAGTTATTTTGATGATGCCATCTGATTCAAGTTGTCTTTTGTGGTTCAGTTTGCTACAGATAACTAAAATGTTATTAGTGCTCTAAAATTGAGATACTTTTCCCTTAAAGTTCATAGTTTGTTGTTGATTCCCAAGAAAGAGTGTGTATTGGTTTCCTGCTGGTGACTTTTTAATCTTGAGCCACTCATATTTTATAAAATTTCACATAGTTAGATGAGAAATAATCATTACCTGAATCTAAGCAAAGTATTTATAACTGGTATAAGTGTAATGCTGGGTGCTATTAATGTCATCCTCATACAAATCCTTGTGATTTTGAAATGGATCAGAGGGACTAAAAGTTGTTGCTTTTTTCCTATGGACTACAAAGGGAAAAGGGATTAATTCAAAGCTACTTGAGTACCTACACTGGAGGTGTTTAAGGTTAGGGAAGATTAATCCCATGCAATGGGTTTGAACAATGTAGTGTGGGTGTATTTTCATCCTCATGGGATCTTTTATTATTTGAGCTTTTAAATGTTTCTTATAGGGATTTCCCTTCTTGGATATGCCCGCACTAAATATTGGCTCATTTGTAGAAGTTACATCAGCAACAATCTTTTGTACAAGCTTTAGTATTGCTTTTTCTCTTGAAACTACCAATCGGAAAATATACTATTGCTTCTCAACTCTTATTTAAAATAATGTTAATCTTTTCTCCCTATTGTCATGCTTTTTTCTGGGTCTGTGTGCTTTATTTTAAGGGGTTAGTCTTAGATTCTAAAAACAAGGCAAATAAAATAACTGAGTAGTAACTAAAACAGAATCAAGTCATGCAGGATCTTTTTTTTTTATTTCTATATTTTTCTACTGTCTCAGAAGAGCTGAATTGTAATGTATTCTGTCAGGGATCACAACAGTTGATATATTGGGGCAATATGTTCATTTCAATGAATGTAATTAGTGATGAATTAGTAATTAGTAATGAATGGATTAGTTTATCATCCTAATCCAAAAAGTGGGATTGCTACCTGGGATCCCCACTGTGCTCTTACATAGRCTGTTTTCTTCATTTACTCCTTGATCTGCATTTTCTGCAGTTGTATCTCAGGCTGCACTTTGGGGCTTTTACCATCACTGGAACTTCTTTCTCTAAGTACCTAGAGACAATCTTTTCAAAACCAAGACATACACACTTTTCTTCTTTCTAGCTTCATAAATAAAATACAGGCATTTGGACTTCTTTTATCCATTTGCTGTCTGGAAATGCAATGATCCCATCCAACTAAGAGGTATTCATTCTTTAAGTGCTTCCAAAATATTTTGGTGTCACTATAATATGTCTGTCTGTTTTCTGGAACAATCAGAAACAGATAATCTCCCCATTTGTGGAAAGAATCATAGATTGCCTTTAAAAGTTCTTTTTCAAGTATATCCCAGTATTTCAAGTATGAAATAGTGTGAGTTAAAAAATCCTAGTTTTTGTGTAACCAAGAAATTTGAATTTTCCAGTGTTTTGTATAGAAATTAATTCAAGTATTATAAAGAACCTTTTTTAAAAAACGCTGTTGTTGTTTAGTTGGTGCTGGTGTAACCTTTATGGATTTCACATGGAAAATACATTGTATTACTTTTTCAGGTGATGTTCACAGAAGATGATGTTAAATTTTATCTGGCAGAATTAGCACTTGCTTTAGACCATCTACATAGCCTTGGAATAATATACCGGGACCTAAAACCAGAAAAGTAAGGCTCCTCTGTGAAAAATACAGCGTATTAATTTATTTCTCTGCACTTTTTCCAACTGTTAAAATTTAGTAATTTACTGTATAAATTGAACAGAGGGAGATGRGGGAGGTTTGTGTGCTATTTTCATTGAAATGGTTGGATTTCACTTGTCTTAAAGAGGAAAAACGATTTTTGCTCAGGAATTAGAGGAGCTTGTTGAGAGAGCTTCAAACTCTTTGAAGGGGAATGGGGACAAAGTCAGAGATAATCCTGGGGGTGGCACTTCTACYRAGGTCCTTCCATCTGCCATGGCAGKGAGGCATGGGGATGGAGATCTTTGCAGCAGCAAGGATGAAAGGATTATTGATACTTTAGAAATCTCAGAAGCAGAAGACAGCAAAAAAAATTTTTGTGCAAATACATCAGCAACCAAAGGAGGGCCAAAGAGAATCTTGGATGTGAGGGGAAACATAGTGGCAAAAATTGGCAAATGTGATGCCCATCTGTGAGAAGGGTTGGAAGGAGAAACCAGGAAACTACAGTCATGTCAGTGTGACTTCATTGCCAGAGAGGGTCATGGAGTCATCATTTTGGGTGTAATCATGTGGCATAAACAGGACAGCCAGGGATTCAAGCCAGACCAGCCTGGATTTACACAAGGCAGGTCCTGCTTGACCAACCTGATCATCTTCCCTGCTTAGTGGACGAGGGAAAGTCTCTGGATGTTGTCTACCTAGGCTTTAGTAAAGCTGTTTGTGACATCCCACCCTTAAAGGGATGGGAGCAGTCAAGATTTGTAAATGCTTATGGTGGAACAGAATGACAACAGTCAGAGGATCTGGAAAAAATCACAAGGTTTTATTAGTAAATTACACACTTGGCATGAGAATTGGTATTTTAGTAGGTATAGAAGTGCATGGCGGTGGGGTTTGGAGAAAGGGGAAGATGAAAAGGGAGAGAGAAAAGCTGAATTAAAACAGGGAGAGAAAGGAGAGGTGCATCTGCACTGGGTAAAAAACTGGTTGGATGAGCAGGCCCAGAAAGTGATGTTGAATGGAATTACATCCAGCCAGATGCTGGTCACCAGTGATGTTCCACCAGATTCTGTGTTAGGACCAGTCCTGTTTAACACCTTCACTGGAGACCTGGATGAGGGCACTGAGTCCACACACAGCACCCAGTTGGGTGGAAATGTTGATCTGCTGCAGGGCAGGAAGGCAGTGTTTGCACATGGCACTTGAGGACATGATTTAATGTTTCCTGCCACAGAAACTGCAAAGTGGAAAAGGAAAGTCATGGGCCTGGGTCGTGTCTTATCCCCAGGATGAGCCACAGCTCTTCACAGGAGAAGCTGGAGGAGCTGTGTCTGCTGTGTAGGGAGTGTTACAAAGTCCAATTCTTGAAAACTTTGCATGCTTTGCAATGCAATAATGTTCAGTGGTGGTCAAGACAGTTGGCATCTCAGAGAAAGTGTGGCCTTTCTTGTGATTGAAGTGAAAAGGTGGAACCTAAGGGCTGCTCCAAGTCCAGGCCTGTGGGTCCTGTCCTTCAGTGCAACATGAAAATGTTTATTACTTGATGTTATTTGATGCTGTCAACACCTTTTCAAGTTCTAATTACAAATTAATGTATTGTATGCATATGAAAACATACCTGGTATARGAGAAACAGAGCTATGCTCTGTTTTTAACAGTTATGGTAGTGCTGCTCATGGTCAAAACTGAAAATTCAATATAAACGTTACTACACACTGAACTTAATCAAATAATTGAATAAAACTGATAAACTGATGGCTTCTTAATCTTTAAAAAGAAAGAGTGGAAGGAATAGAAAATGTGTMGTTTGAAAGTATTTTCTATTAATTAATTTTCATGCATGTTTAATTCTGCATGTCTCTGTGTATCCTCTTCTGGTTTTCCTAAATGTTGTTAGTATGTTGTCTGAAACAGCACTTCAAAGATATTTTATTCAGATTTTTATATTCTTTTTATTGTTTTTAGCATCCTGCTTGATGAGGAAGGACATATCAAATTGACAGGTGAATAAAGAAATTGCAATACTGGGGTCATTTCTGTTCACAGTAAAATCTTTGCATTTTCTTCTTGGCAAACCAATATGATAAAATAAGTAATTTTAACTGGTAATTTAGGTAATTTAGCTATGGAAGCAAGTAGTGTAATTAGCTTGAAATAAATGAAATATATAAGTATTTTATAAGATACCTGCTTTACAAGTGTATCTGATGTTATGGACCTGTGATAAGGTGGGGAGGGGAGGAGAATCCTGTAATTCCTGTATTATTATTCAGTTTTATATACAAATAATATAAGCATAACATTTCACATTATGGTAAAAGTGCTGACCATGAGTGATTTAAAAAAAAAAAAATCCATTTGGAACTATTTTTTTTTTCTTTCAGATTTTGGCTTAAGTAAGGAGTCAATTGATCATGAAAAAAAAGCCTACTCTTTCTGTGGAACAGTGGAATATATGGCACCAGAAGTTGTTAACAGAAGAGGCCATACCCAGAGTGCAGACTGGTGGTCTTTTGGTGTTTTAATGGTAGGTTTCTGGTAAATATAAATAATAGCAAAACTGTGCTTTGCAAGGTTTGGTGAAACAAATCAAACACCAACCCCTAAGGTGAACTTTACATGGAAGTCTAAATTGTGTGAATTTAAAATCACCACAGAGTTTGGATGAGGAACATGGACTAGGCATCATATCAACACCAATATGTCTTATTCTTATTATCATTTTATTCAAATATTTTACATCTMTAATAGTTTGAATGTTATGGAGACCAAGAGGAATACAAAAGTATACAGAAAAATACTTTCTATTCCAAAGTGGGGAAGAAATTGAGATTTAAATTTGAATTTACATTCAAGAGGAAAAAGAAGATTGGTAAYTTTCTAGTTAGAATCTACAGTGTAATTACAGCATAGTAGAATAATGACAACTGTTGTTYTCACACATCAAAATTACATAAATGACTCTTGAGCCAGTATGGGATGTAGTTGCTCAGTTTGCTTATGGTGTTTCTGAAAGGGATAGTTGTTGTAAAGAGGCAGAATTGGGGGAAATAATATATATGTGGAGTATGAATTAGAAAAGAATAATATATCATGTTTGGTCCTTAAGAAATGCCGAAAGACTTTTAGTATTTAAAATATCTGTGTGCATTTTTGACATGGAGATTAAATAGTTTCATAAATGTGTTTATTTCTTATTGCTTGGGCTATATATGACTGTAACAACACAACTAATCTGTGTGCATTATAGTACAAGAAGGACTCTTGTGTCTGAAAATAAGTCATSCTATCACTTTATGATGATTTAGAATGCTGTTGTGATCTGAAAACTGACTACGTAAAAGTAGCACCTTATAGCTAAACTCTCCAGACAAGAACACACACTCTTCCTAACTGCACATTTTATCACTAAAAACAGTCAGTTAAAAGATATTTACAATGTAGTTGCAGAATATTTGTTGTTGATAACATAAACATAATTAAACTTCAGCTTTAATTTATAAAAAACGTAATTTGGTGTTTATCAAGTGGATATGGTATAATTGAAAATAACTAAAAAATGTTAGATGTGACTGGGGTAACTTTCACAGTCTTGAGTGCACTGCAAGTTAAATACTTTGGCTTCTACTCTGAATGCAAAAATTTGACCTTAAAAAMCAAATTTTCTRGATYAGTATATGAAATACAGYKSAGTTTTCTCTAAAATGTATTTTTGTTGCTTACATTTATAGTCTGTAATTTTCATAGACAGTCTGTATGTATCCACTTTTAAAGCATTCTCAGTTTTAAGTTGATCAGAAATTCATRTGATGGTTGGTGTGGTGTAAGTGCACTGTGACTGGAGTGAACAGAAGTTAGARCATAGAAATGGAGAATATAAAATTATTTCAACAAATCATTTGGCTTCTTCTCATGTGTTGCTAGACATGAAGTATGTTTAAGCCATTGGTAGAGAAATACATTCCAATTTGTGCTTTGAAACAGCTTTAAGAGATGCCATAACAGTGAAAGCATTAAAATTTTCAGAAGCATTGAGGTTCTCTTCTGCTGAAATAAAACATAAGTAGGGAAGACTAGTGCTGACTTATTCTTTAATGTTATTCTGTTAATGTTGGAATATAGTATTTGGGAGGGGAGAGGAAGAATACATGCACTGAGCTCTTAATACAWATATGTGTGCTTCTGACAAATTAGGAGATTGCTAAAAAAACTTTGTATTTCAAGCAAATTAAGTGGAGCACTATAAATTTATCTTTTATAAAGGATGGGTTTTTTTCCCAAGTGCAACTTGTGGAGATMGTTTTAAACCAAGAACAACCAAAAACTATTTTTCTTCTTATCCCTTATAAGTTTKGGCTTATCTCTCTCACATCTTCCTGACAATTGTCTTAAGTGTTAAAGATAARAGTAGGCTTTTTTAATGTTGTCATTATTATTAAATTTAAATTTTCTTAATATATCTGTAAAAAATATTATTTATACAGTATGTAGCAGTACAGAAGAGATGGCAGTAAGAAATTCAAATTTTATTTCAGTAAAATGGTTTTTTAAAGAATACTGTTAGTGCAACTTCATGCTCTTATTGTAGATGTAAAAATTCTGCAGTCACACATTATTCATTCAAGTTATCCATGTACATTTTTAATGTTCCAGGAGGCTGAATGTTTGGGTTATACCAGAAAAGAGGGGAATAGAGGGTACCTTGTATTCAGGATGACTTAAGTTTCCCTAAGCTGTTCAGAGGGTTCCTTTAAAATTATTTTAATTTTTATGCCTTTATGCCATGAAATTCCATTGAAACTAAATTATTTTGCAATTTTTAAATAAAAGAACCCCAYGATTTCTGCCCAAGTGCTGGCTGCCATGACTGCTACCAGAATTCCACTGCCTCATTTCAGGAATGCCTTTATATTTCTCTATTTTTACTCAGTCACTTTCAGAACAAATCAGTATTTTAGCAGTGTCTGTTGTCACTGCCAGGCACTGCAGAATGTGCATGCATGTACTGTGTAGCTCTTCCATGTTCCTTCAGGCTTTATTTCCACTGTATGCATACAGTAACCACTTCATCATGCATGTCTTTGTCAATCAGCTAACCTTTYCCCCTTCCCAGTGAAGGCCAATTTTCAAAATTTTGACCTTTTTACAAATCTCTGCMTTAGGAGAAATCATCACTAACTTTTGGAAGGAAAACTTTTTTTTCCCTATCCCCTCCCCTTTGTTGAAAACTAAAAATACAGTTGTGTAGATCAAGTCTTCCTAGAACAAACTTTTTAGGCAGAAATGAAACACAGAACATTATAGTCTAAACTGCATGTAAAGTGAGGTATTAATATAGGAAAATATTTTGCAGCTTTAAAAATGGCTAAGGCTGCTTAATGTTCTTAGTAATTTAAACTGTACAATGAAGTTGTTTTGCACAAACTTGATTGTTAACATGCATGAATTTTGGAAGGTTAAGATGCTAAGTAGTTTTGTCAAAAATTAGTTTTTGTCCAGGTAATGTAATTGATGAAAGTTTTACTCTATACAGTTTGAAATGCTCACTGGTACTCTACCTTTCCAAGGGAAAGACAGAAAAGAAACCATGACTATGATTCTCAAGTGAGTACACTCTTATTTATATATCTCATCAGGTATTCTACAGGGATGCCCTCCGGGCTGCAATATCTAATTTCTACTCTTCCCTCATTTTCAAAGGTACTGGTAAATCCTCACTCCCTATTCCATATTATTAATTCCCTTTGCTGCCTATCTAATTTGCTTTACTATTCCTCTGCCATACCAGGTACAAAGGATTTCATAGCAGCTCTTTAATTCTGTAATAATAATTTCTCCAGCCATATGATCTCTCCCATCTTATCTCCATAATATTTTTTTAACTTTCTTATCCTTTTTTTATGACCTGTATATTTTTTCCTTGTTGTTTTTTTTTCTTCCTTTGTTTTAGGTTTTTGGAGTTTTTTTAGCAAGTATTTTCACTCCTTATCTTTCTTTATCTTACCAGCTTCTCACCAATACTCCTCCCTTCTCTACTCTCCTATGACTTGCCTAAGCWCCAATTCTTCCCTTTTGCTATTTTCAGCATTGATTTTGCATTAGCTCTTTTGTGGGAATTGCTTTCCTTCATGCAGTTAATGTTCTTGTTTTTGCTGATGAAGGTCTGCTATTTTCCTTGCCAATTCCCTGAGTATTTTCTAAACTAATACAACCTATGGTGTAACTGCCCCATTTTTGGGACTGTAGCCAAACACTGTGCAAACAAGTTTGTTTCCTCATATCATAGGTTCACTTCTCTGTTTCCATCTATTTTTAACTAATACCATTTTTTCCATGGAAGCTCAAAAGACTTATGTTAGTTTTTTAGTTTTCTCATTTGTTTTTTGCCTCATTGTTTTATTATTTTTCTCAGTCCTGTTAACCACTTGTCTACCCGTATATCAAAACTGAAATTTCTTTTGCACCAACAACCTATTTTGAAAAATAAGTATATGGATCTCTTTCATCTCTTCTCTAAGTAAATAGAATGTGAAAACCACTAGAAAACACATCCATTATTTTCCTTACTTTTGCTYTCATGATGCATACATGTTATGTTATTCTTTGCCCTTGTTTTTCTTCATCTTATTTGCAACTATATTTAGTGATGCTACTTTCTTCTGCTGTCTCAGCACTCTGCCAGATCAAATCTTCATGTTGTGATTATGCAATGTGTTTAACTAAAAAGTTGTCTATTCACAGCAAGCATAAACTACTTCTGACCACCTCTTATTTACAAGAAGCTAGTCTGAGATAGTTCTGCTGCACTCTCACTTGTTTCAGGAGACATGCATTTTTTTCTGTCTGTGCCTCATGAGTCACATCTTTCTCTTCTTCTCTTTGCCTGCATGTGACTCCACTTTGTTCCTCAACAGTCTTTTCACTGTTGCTATAAATATCTTCTGTATTCAGCTGCCRTGTAGAAAATCCTTGTAGAATAATCCATGTAGAATTATCTCTCCAGGTAATTGATGTTCATAGTCATTCATAGCCCAGAGAGCAGTGSTGAATGGACTGAAATYCAGCTGGTGGCTACAAGTGATGTTCCCCAGAGGCCAATCCTATTTAACATCTTTATCAACAAGCTGGATAAGGGAATTGAGTGTACCCTCAGTCAGTTTGCAGCCTGGACAAGAGGGGATGTTGATCTGCTGGAGGGTTGGAAGGCTCTGCAAAGGGATGAGCCCAGTAGGATGAGGTTCAGTGAAGCCAAGTGYCTTACACTTGGGTCACAACAACCTCAGGGAACACTCCAGGCTTAGGGAAAAATTACTGCAAATCCACCTGGCAGAAAAGCACCAGGGAGTGTTGGTTGACTCTGCAGAACAGTGAGCCAACAGTGCCCAAATGGCTGAGAATGGCACCTGGGTCAGCAATGATGTGACCAGCAGGACCAGGGCAGGGATTGTCTCCTGTACCTGCACTGGTGATGCCACATCTCAAATCCACTGTTCACTTTTGGGCTTCTCACTATGAGCACACTGAGGTGTCCAGAGAAGAGCAGCCCCACTGTGAGAAGCTTCTGAGGAATCTGCATTTGTTTATCCTCTAAAAAGCTCTTACCACTCCCTCCAGCTCCCTGAAAGGAGGCTCTATCAGCTGGGGAGGGTCTGTTCTCCATAGGAAGAAGTAACAGCATGTGAGGAAATGACCTCGAGTTGTGCTATGGGAGGTTTAGATTGGATATTGGGAAAAATTCTTCTTGAAAGAGTTGTAAAGCCCTGGAACAGGCTGCCCAGAGAAGTGGCTGARTCACCATCCCTGGAGGTTTTTTTAAAAAGATGTGGCACTTAAAGATATGATTTAGTGGTGGAYTGAGTGGTGCTGTCTTAATGGTTGGCCTTGATAATCTTAAAGKTCTTTTCCAYCCTAAGMAATTACAGATTTCTGTGATTCTGTAATTACTTGAAGATTTCATTTGAACATGTATCTCTTCCAACTTTTTTCACCTTCTAGTCTTTGTAATTGTTACCAGTTTCAAATAGCTACACAGAAAGTGTGCCATGATGTAAAGACMTTTTTCTCTCTTTTAATGTTTCCTRTGCTTATGAATATTATCATACATWGAAGTGTTTTGMTTTTGGTAATATAAGCAGCTGAAAACCAGAAGATATTTTGAAGTGTTTTCTGATAAATTCACACTTTTTTYCCCTGGCCTATGTTTTCTTTTTATTTTCTGCATCCTAGTATATTTTTCCTTAAATTTTTCATAAAACTTTAAAATGGACAGGTGTRCATATGAATTCCTGTTTTCATAGTGTATATTTAAGATATATTGCTTTTCTTACCTTCTGTTCCCAAAAATCCATGGAAAATACATTCTTCTTACAGCAAACTTTTTTTGGGTTCTTTATTTCTCACAGTATTATGGAGACAAATTTTTGTTTATTCTTCTGTGTTTTACTTAAAACTKAGAAACTGCAGTTTGAAGAAATCACAGGTTGCAGCAACAAAGTTAAATTTTTAAACATTATTTCTCCTTTATTGAAGAGGTATGCCTTCATATAAAATTTTGTCATTGTCCATCAGRAATGTCAGAAAAAAATTGCTGTCACTCATGTAGTTGCATAATATAGGAACTCTGAGGACCTGGCAATTGCCTTTCTTTTTCTCCTGTCATKTGCCTGATACAGAATTTTGTGAAAATTTTGGGCTGGTTTTAGATTCCTCTAGGCACTTGACTTCTAATGCTGAACCTCSAGAGCTGCATCCTAGCCTTGGAGCTGTTTAAAAGGAATGGAAAATGTAGTAAATTCTTGTTTTAGATGATAAAATTTCTAATTCTAATGATGAATGGTAAATCAGTGGCAACATGTATGTACTTAAGTGTCATGGAGGTGGATATCTAAAAATACCTGGAATACAAAAAAAAATCATTCTTCTGAAGGAAACACAGAGAGCTTGTGTCATGTACTGTTACAGACAAAATACAAGCTACAGGTTAAATTAGTAATGGAAAGGAGGAAATTATATCCCTCCTTACCATTACCATAGGTAGAAGAAAAGGTGTGCTCTAGTAAAAGTAAGAAAATGGAGACTCAGTGTTAAATGTAGAGAAAAACAATATGGCAAGGATTACAAAACAAAATTAAATTAGTACARAGACCTAAATCTAAAAATCTAAGACAGGCAAATTGGAAAAGTAATATTTGAAATAGATGGGGGAGGGGGCAAAAAGGAAGAGGTTTAGTTTGGTTTGGCTTTTCTTTTACCTGCTAATCCTGCAAGATCAGTCCTACCTTAATTCAATTTTTCTATTCTGATTTAATGTATGTTTGGTGTGTGTCATACTGTGGTAGTTTTCTTGCTCCTTCTAAACTGTCTTTTATATAACTATCAAAATGCTTTATTTTGTGTCACTGGATAGTAACTGGACCTATAAATGGATCAAAGCATATAAGGAAAATTTACAAGTTTGTAAACTGCTATCCTGTAGCTCTTCTTCTCTACAGGTTTTTCTAATTCTTCCTCAACTTCCTGAGTCTATATTTTTTCTGAAAAAAATATGCTGTTAAAAAGATTAAAAACCTAAACATGTTGACATGACTGACAGCACTTTTGCTCTGTRTCTGATGTCTGAAGGCAATTTCTCAGTGATCCTACTTTGTTTATTATGGACTTGTTGAATGACAAAGGACAGGGGGTATGCAGAGTTAATTYTTACCTAGATATGTTTGTATACTGTTAATTATTTTTATTCTATAGGGCCAAACTTGGAATGCCCCAGTTCTTGAGTCCTGAAGCACAGAGTCTCCTGCGAATGCTCTTCAAAAGAAACCCAGCAAACAGATTAGGTAGAGTTTTTAGCAGAATATTCTAAATTTGGTTATAATATTCATAGCATCAGTGATCATTAAATTGACTAAAATTTTGTTTCTTCTGTAAAATAGGCTTTAAAATAAGAATATAGTTGGCTCTTCAAGTGATCACTAAAGTATTATCATTTCTGCTAGTCATACATSTAAAATTAATGCAGAAGACATAAGAAATAATTTTACTAATCATTCCTTTGATCAAGAAGAAAATAATTAACAGACTCTTTTTTTATTATAAAAGGAGCAGGTCCTGATGGAGTAGAAGAGATTAAGAGGCATGCATTCTTTTCCAGAATAGATTGGAACGTGAGTATCTAATTCAGAATCAATCCAGTAAATTTCTTGGTTAAGCCTTTTATGATTCATATAACCTTTCCATTTCCAATGTGTTCCATCTCTTCAGAAATTGTACCGGAGAGAAATTCATCCTCCTTTTAAACCTGCAACTGGCAGACCTGAAGATACATTTTACTTTGACCCTGARTTTACAGCAAAAACTCCAAAAGGTAAAGACATATGAATGAGACAATTTACATACACAAAAGATAGAATTTGAATTTCAAATCTTCTCATTCAAWATTTGATAGAAGTTGTTGTATTTACAAATTTAAGGTCCTACCAAAATTTCAGTGCTTTATCTCATATCTACATGTTCAAGACTCTGCTTCTAAGTAGATTTTGTGTTTTTCAGATTCACCTGGTATCCCACCCAGTGCTAATGCACATCAGCTTTTTCGGGGATTTAGTTTTGTAGCAATTGCATCAGATGATGAAAGCCAAGCAATGCAGACAGTTGGAGTGCATTCAATTGTCCAGGTGAGTATATCTGCCAAAAAAAAAAAGAATCAGTGCTGTCTCTTGGTGGATGGATTGTTTACTTACCACATCATGATGAAATCATTGTCATCTTTTATACCAGAGAAGATCAGATTATTTTATCCAAAAAAATCAGTGAAGATGCAGGGYCTGTTTAGTTACTGAGCAGCTACAGCTCCAAATAGGCTTCAATCTTAAATGAAAACATTCTACTCTATGTACTGTATTAATAAACTCTTTTAATATCAAGCCATTAGCTATAAGGTGGAGCAGAATAATAGATACCTGGATTTATTGTTTTTTTCCCCCATAAGTGAAAATGTCAGTGATTCCTGCAATGCAGTAGTAGGAGGCACTGGAATACAGTTGTGGATTTTATCTGGATGTTCTGGGCTGCTGTGCATCTTGGAATCCATGATCCATATTCTGTCCCTCCCAAGCCACTTTAAGTGAATTTGCTCATCTGTGCTGTTTTGTGACTGGTTTCAGCATATCCTCCAAGTCAGTGTTAAAGTGCACACTCAAACTTTGGCTTCCTTGATATATTGTAATAACTCTAGTAGAGTCTCCTATATTAATAATTTCAATAGCCTGATCTAATGCATTTCTATTCTTATAAATTTTGTTACTGCCAATGCTCCTTAGGACAACAAACATTTCTGTGAGGCAGGAAAGGTGGTCTTTATACTAGAATGAGGGAGAGGCTTGCCTTGCCTCCTTATGAGGCTGAGCTCATTCTGAAAGCATCCTGCAGTACTGGAGAGTTTACATCCAGTGGGGAAAAAAAGCAAATTGTGTACAGGAGAAAAACCTGAAATAGAAGACCTCTGCAAAATTATATTTCTACCTCCTCTCTCTGATTTTAGTAATTCTAATTACTGAGTCATGATTTAACTTTTGTTGAAAACTTCTTAATATGCAGGTAGGAATAAAAAGATGCATGATTGGGTTTATTTGTATTTTCACTGCGCTGGTATTTTGTAAATATCTGAGAAAACTTTAAAAACCCCACAATTTATACAGAACATGAATAGCCCTTGTATTTCTTTAACATCCTCATGTCTAGAACAGTCACAACATGTTTTTCTACACATTATTGTTTCATGTGTAATAAAATCTTTTGAAATGTAACTTTAGACCCCTTTTTATTCTCTAGAAGCTTTCTGATTTGATATATGCATCAGAATTATTTCTGATCTTGATACCTTGCTAGAATTTTCTGCAAGCTGCTTCTTTCCTGCTCAATTTTGTGGATAAAACCATTTCTCTTTGTTGGTTTCCTTCTTTGTGAAGGGTCTGTTTCTCTGCTACCTTTCCTCTGTGCCCCTCAACCACTTCCTCACTCCTATTTCCTCTTTTCTGTGCTGCAGGATACCCAGATGGTTTCCTGCAAATGCTTTGCATCCTTTGCACAAACTCCATGCACTAGAACACCATTTCCTTCCCTTACAAGAGTGAACAGTGCTCCTCCTTTCAGCTTTTTATTTCTGTGAAAGGATTTTTGACTGCAATTCCAATCAATCTGATCCTATTCATGTGTCTAAATTTTCCAGCTGGCATTCATCTGTCTATTCAGATAATAGAAACAGTGATGCTTTTTACTCTTGTTGTATCACTATTTTATCTTGAAGTCTTCTGATTTTCTTTGGTTTGGAATTTCTATCTTTAATAAAGTAGTAATCAGAAAAAGAATGTTTTCAGTTTCTAAAATRCAATGTGCATTATTTACAATATGTCTAATATATAATTTATAGTAACTTTGAACAGAAGGTCACTACCTTCTGGATTAGGGGATTTAGACACTTTGACCTAGTAGAGTTATCAGTTTAAAATTTTAAGCAAATCAATMGGGATTTTTTTTAAAGTTATTTTAAAAAGATCAGTTACATATTAAAAATATTCATCAATTGATAATGTTATTTTGGTAGCAGTTGCACAGGAACAGCATTCAGTTTACTGATGGATATGAAGTAAAGGAAGATATTGGAGTTGGCTCTTACTCCATCTGCAARAGGTGTATTCATAAAGCTTCAAACATGGAATATGCTGTAAAGGTAATTACTTTGTTATAAACCACACTTTTCACATTTTAGCATTGGGCTTCTCTTATTTGCCATAGAGAACATAGAGACTAAGATTACTTTTTTCTAATATAAAAATATTTTATATGCAACTGCAAAAGTAAATTCGTGAATTCTCAGATGGGTAAGGAGTTYAATAGCAGTCTTTAGTCTGGTGTAACTGCTAGTATAAATATCAACTCTTTGTCTTTGCTTCCTGGTTTTCAGCAAGGTTTTTAATGTTTTTATGTTTTTCTGTAGGGCTCTCGAGCACTTCTTTGAAGGCATTAAATTCTCAGATGAAATTAGTAGATTTCCCAGAACTGCAATGATAAAGTTTTTTTTTCTTTCTGTGTAATAACCTGGGACCAAATGGTTACTATGAAAGCAAGAGTATGTATTAACAGACTTTATAAATGGGAAAAAAAGTAGTCTTTAAATCCTATACTAGGACACAATTCTCTTTCTGGATTGTTGAACAGCTTACTACTTAATTATGTAAACTACAAAGATGAATTAAGTATGTAGATTGCCTCCTGGAAACCTTCCCATTTCAATTTGGTAGTTAAATACTTATTTTTATTCTRGTTCTGGCCAGGAACAGATTTGACTTCTGTGCTTTCAGTTTGAAGTAATTTCTTGAAATTGCAAGAAAGTCTTGGCATAGCTGATAATTCCCTCAGCTATAACATTTATTGTGAAGATTGACTCACTTTTCTGTTGCCTCTCTTATTTTTTTCCTCAAGGAATCTTGAAAAAAGGAATAAGATGATCAGTGTCTGATGTGCTAGTAGGGGAGTGGTAGCAGTACAGGCATAAGGATGAAGGGATAACACAACAATGGAAAAGACATTATAGGAAATTCTGCACTTCAGAAGAGGAAAAAAAAGAGAATTTTTTATACAGATATACTTTTTAAGTAGGGCAAAACAAGATTTTGCTTGTTTGCACAGGGAGAACTCTAGAGCCAAAGATTCAAATGGACTTTCAYAAGAACATGTATTTGAATTAACTCTTGAGAAATTTTTACTTTTTCTGAGRTTTTATACTCTTCTGCTTTGTTTTTTTGCTGCACCAAATAGTTGTTTGAGATTAGCATTGTGAAAATCAGTTTATTAGCATCATCCAAACATCCTCATGTTAAATTAGGAACTTCCTATTTTATTAAATTATTGATCATGGAAGTCTTATCTACTAAACAGCCTTGCATTATTTATCATAGCCAAAGGGTTGGATCACTTATCCTCCAAAATAGTTTTCAACTGAGATTTTTATCATTTTTCCCAACATTTTTCACTTTGCCTTGCTTTTCCAATTTAACAAGCTAGGGCTTGGTTCTAATCCATGCCTTTTGCAACAATAAATACTGCTTAACTGTTGATGCTAATAAGCACACCAAAGTATTACACTSTATAATATTCACAAAACAAATTATRCYCATGTCTGTACTTGCTCTTACAGATTATTGACAAGAGTAAAAGAGATCCCACAGAAGAGATTGAAATCCTGCTGCGCTATGGACAGCATCCAAATATTATTACCCTAAAAGATGTAAGTAGTGTTTTAAAGAAAGCCTTTAGTGTACTATAATTGTGAATCACTTTCTAATTTGAGAGATGATGAGCTTCATGTTTTAGATTTATGTTCATGTTTTTCAGTATTTGAAAATAAAACAATGTCCCAATGCAATTTAGTCACTAGTATTCATGTTTTTATGGAGATGTCTTAGTGTTTTCTTTTAAAGATGCTCATATTTTGGTACAGTGTTACTCTAAGGAGTCAAATAATTCATCCTTCATAAATCCTAGCACAAGGATCATTTATTTAACATTGGCTGTATTTTTAAAGAAACAAGGAAGTTTTTTGATCAGTTAACTTTGAATCTGCTTTTGCATACRTTAAAACAATTTTACATACATTAAAAGCAATTTTAATGTGCATTAGTATAACAAAGGACTCACTCTTAGCACAGTACCCAAAGTAATTTTCATGGACAGTAGCAAGTATTACTCAGTAGCAGACAAAATCTTTCCATATCCAGGCTTGTCACTCTTTTTACCCAGTATCTTTTTCTGGTCTTTGTATGGAACACTGTCTAGGTATTTTTTCTTGCAAACACTTMATCCATAAAAAGCAAGGAATAACATAAATTGGGTGGTAGAGGGATTTCATAGTGAGCAGTATATTCTGATGATCTAACTGAAAAAGAAAATTGTCTTTCCTTGGTTATTCATTAAAGAGATTAAAAATTAAAMAGGCATATGCTTAATGACTTTCTTAGACTGCAGGGAAATATTCTGGTCCCCCAAACCAAACCTCAGGCAAAACAGCAAACCATTTCCAGGAAGCTGAGCTCAGCTGAAAGGAGATTGTCAGACATTTTGGAGTCATTAAAACAACAGCTCATAAATAGTGTGGAGATGAGCACTAGAGAATTCTACATAAAGTTGGTCTGCTATAATCTGTCTTTATTGATATCAGACTGGTTGGTCCTTTCTTGGATGGAGAATACAAACAGAATGTGAGCACTTACCTGAGCTTGAGCATTGTGAATATTTTACAGAGATCCAGGAACAGAATAGAAATCCAAGCAGTCTTTTAAAACTGCAATATATGCTGAATTATTTCACTTTGTGATTAATCTTTTATTGTCATCAGATATTCTAACAGGAAGCATCTTTCCTGCACAGCAACAGCAATACACAAACAGACTACCAAAAAACCAAAAATTTTTTAAAAAAGCCTTAAGTCCACAGAGGGAGAAAGACTAATTCTCACTCACTTCTGCTTCAGATCAGTTCCCCAAGCAGAAATTATGGAAGGATGTCCAATGTAAGAAAARAGATATAGGATTCATATGTAATAGAAAATTATACAATATCTGTAAGAATTTAACATTAAGGTTTCCTTGTCCTCATACAGACCCATGGGGCAGATTGTTGTATATCCCACATTATAGTTCTGTGCTATGACTGCTTTCAGAGAAGAAAAGGAGTATTTTGCCTTCAGGTCTCCAACTCAAGAGCATTTATTACTAAAAATCAACTCATTGTTGATTTGCTCAAATTTTCATTCAGTTCCATTACTAAAAATCAACTCATTGTTGATTTGCTCAAATTTTCATTCAGTTCCACAGCAAAACTTAAATGTTTCTAATCTGAAGTGCCAAAATAAAACATTTCAGCATTAAAGTACCTGCTTTGGAAATTATTAGTCTTCAAGAAATAGTTTACTTCTTTTCTTATATTTCAAGAAGAAATGCAGYAATACTTAAATTTTGCTTAAAATGGAAATTTTCATTCCTATTCAGCCTTTTTATGTATTTTAATTCTGAAGGTATTTTGATTGAAACAATGGATAYTCAAGAGACCAAATTCTTTCTACAGTGCACAGTCCTCTGGAGGTTTTCCTTCTGATTGTTATCAGTGGTCTTTTTTCAGTCCCACAGTATATAAACAAAAGAAGGAGCTATATTGTGCTAAATCAGATGTCCTTCTTATTCAATATCCTGCCTCTGACAGAGCCCCTTATGGATGCTTAGGAAACAGTGTAAGAATGGAGGAAGCACACAGCTTCCAACAAAACATTACCTAGAAACTTCCTGTGCCTGACCATTATAAGTATTTTACCCTTTTTATGTAATAGTTGCTGTTCTGTAACAGAACTTTTGTCCTGGTTTGTGTTATTTAAAACATTGCCTGAAGAATCTTTTCAGAAACATTTTAGAAACTTGAATACAAGATATCCAGTCTCCCTTATCCAAGTGCTTATTTATGATTTTAAAAAATCTCATAACATGTCTGTAAAATCTTATTTCACTTGGCAAAAACCTCAATTTCTTTCTCCATTGYGTTATATTTTGTTCATGTGCCTACATCTGTTTCTCACTACAGCTTCTTACACTTTGCCTGATAAGARAAGACAGACTGACTGACCTGTGGCTTGTGCCCAGAGTTAATTTTCAAAAAGTAGGATCACATTTATGATCTTAGCATCACTCTGTGCACCAAACTGTGAAGAAAAGTTCATCAGTACTTACTCAAAAACATGCTATAAGGTTGACAATACCATTTAGAAGGAATTGGTGCCTTAGAGGAGGGGAATTATTTGTTTGGGGTGAGGTTTTTTTGGGGTTTTTTTTGGCAGACAAACAGGACCAGCAGATGAAATAGTAACCAAATACAAATTTGGTTGAATTCTGCATTCCTGAGATGTGTATGCTCTGTCATATCAAATGAAATAAGCTTATCTCCTCATGTTGTACCAGGATTGGAGGAAGCATGCCATAAAAAAATACCCAGTTTAGTTTCTAGAATTTGATAATTCTGTTTTTGAATACTGTGTAATATTTAAAGTCTTAATACAAACACATTCAGATGATCAGTCATATTTATATGGGAGGAAAATTCCTGTTAAATGAGAACACAGAAACCCATCACATCTTCATCTCCTTAAGATCATTAGCTTGTAAAACGCACAGAATTATTTAACCTTTTTTTTTTCTTTTTCTTTTTTTTTTTTTTTTGTTTTTTTTTTTTTGGTGAGAAAATAAATCCTTTTAGTATAGTTAGGAGCACAAAAATTTTGAAGCTTAGAACTTTATTAGAATATTTTTTCCCAGGTAGCTTAAGACAAGGAAATTGGGATGATAACCCTTTTTTTATTATTTTCTATTACTTAGCTGATATCTATTCTTAAATTTATATTACTACAACTTAGACAATTCTTTTTACTTCAACACAAGTTATTTTTTTATTTCACACATTTTACTGAACTTGCCACATCACCATAAAAGTGATGATCAAATCATAAAAGAGAACAGTCTGTAAAAAGGTTTTGCTAAAGCAGGAATTGTTTCTGGATTAAGTWGGAACTCTGGGAGTGAAATGTCCAACCCTTAAAAAAAMYATTCTGTRATTCTGTGAAAATGCAGCTGAATTCTGTGTGCCTTAAAACATGGTTTGGTATCAGTCTTTAGTGCCCTCTGGTGAGGATTGAAAAATTCTCAGCTCCTTCCCTGGATGATAAAACCGTGTAAAAATTAGGCCATTTCCCATAACTAGAAGGAAGGGCTAAAATATGCCTATTTTAATATTTTCAGACTTTTGTATAGGCTCCATGTGTAGAGTACTGTACAAGTTGTATGTTTTTATCATAGCTACTTTGTATGCATTCACTTCACTATTCACAGAGGTTATTTGAGGCAAACTTAGATTTTTTTTTTTGTCTGACTGTTCAGTTGGAATTATATTTGTTCCTATCTGTAATTTGGTGCAATAATTGGTGCTATAATTACCTCTGGTTTTGCTTTAATTGGACTAGTTTCCTTTTTTTGCTACCTAATTTCTCTCATTTCTAGTTTACTTTATTTTAATGAAACTGTGTGGGGGAAACTGCATGTTATTTATCCTTTTTTTGTCTTTAAACCCTACACGCCAGTATTTCTATTCATTTCACTACTGCTTTTTGTAAAGGTTTTGTGTTATTTTATGAAACAATGAAAATGAACAATTTGGATAGTGTGTGGGTTGTGAAATACAGGGAAAACAGCCTGTGGAAACACCTGCACTATCTCTGCATTTCACATAAAGACAGCAGAGAATTCATATTTTCAAGTTTAAATATTTATGTACTTTTTGCAGGTGTATGATGATGGAAAATATGTGTACGTAGTAACAGAACTTATGAAAGGAGGAGAACTGCTGGATAAAATTCTTAGGCAAAAATTTTTCTCAGAACGAGAAGCAAGTGCTGTTCTTTTCACAATAACAAAAACAGTTGAATATCTCCACGCACAAGGGGTAAGTTCTCATCTCAGACAAAATGTTTATAACTATTGATATTCTTCTCTTTCAGAAAACTTGTATCTTGATACATTCTTCTGTGTGATAATTAAGTAGCTTTTGGTAAGCAATTACATYGCAGCAGGAATTTGTGTTGAAATCAAAACTTTCCTTATCTGCTCTGTACGTGTTCAGATAACTGAGATGATGCAACTGTTTCTGTTGTTCTTCTTGCAGTTTGTCAGCAGTTCTGTGGAATATGCAGCTCATGACTTACAGAGAGGATATGAGGGAAAGAAAGTCCAGAAAGAAGTGCTAGGATCAGTCTTGTTGCATAGCCATGGGACCTGATGTAATTCTAATTTCATCCTGTGATAGACCCTGAAAATTTATTTTCCATTTTTCATACTTGCAGTTTCTTTGATTTCCTAGTTTTGAAGAACATGGTTTATGGCTTGTAACTCTTGTTAGGGTCAGGAAGTTGTAGTAGACTTGTAGGAGACAGAAAATTAACACTTTGGAAAATAAATTTGGAGACAGAGGAAGTAGTTTAAATATAGAGAAGGACAATGTGTTAATTGYATGGCAAGAAAGACAAGTTGTGTTGCATTTTTAAGTGAACAAGAAAAATGGGATAGAGAAAAAGCAGAAAGCAAGGGTGCAAAGGAAGAGTCAAGCTGCTAATACATGATGTTGTTACCCAAGAAAAGATGCTTTGGAACATATAGTACTGAAATTATTTTAAATAACAAATAGCAATTCAGTACACACTGTCATGGCTGGAAGCTGTTACTTCAGAAAGTTTACCATCAAAATTATCTGGTATCTCATTCTGGGATTCATCCCATCAGTCATGTGTGGTTTTATTTGAGCTTATGTGCATAGGAGCAGATCCTTGGCCAGGAGCTCCTGTGGGAGTAACTTCCAAACCTTGATACCTTCTGGATGGAAATACAGATAACAGAATAACAATAACTTGGCTCATTCTTGCCACTTGTGGCCAAAAGATGTCCAGTGTACTGGATCAAGTAAGGGATTTTTAGGGGTTTTTGTTTCTTTACTGTAGATCTCTGTGTGACATTTTACCTTGTATTAGACCACATGCATTTTGGAASATTTGCTTTTGGAATTTTTCAGGTCCTATGTTAAGTACAGCTCCACAGGAAAGCTGGGCATAGATGTAAACAGTGAGCACWCAGCRGTCTTAAAATTAATTCTTTTCTAGAGGAATCCCTCCTGTCTTCATTTCCAACAGGGTTTTACTGTTGGAACTCCTWTGGACACTGGAGGAGCTCATATAAATATGATATTTGGTAATATCTGGTTCATCTTGTAGCAGCAGACTCCTTAATGCTGGTAGATAGTTGAGACTGCTAGGCAAAAGCACAATGTTAAAAAATAAAGTTCCTGCTATTTTTCTCCCTTCCCTATTTTTCTCCCTCCCTTGTGCTAAAATAAAATGGTATTTCTATATAAAATACCAATATAACCTTAACAATCTGGTAACATTTTTTAAAAGCATTGTATTTTTAAATATTTTCAACATTAGCCTTTGGGAAAACAGMTTAACATGGGAAGGTGTTTCATTTATTCTTTGACATAAACATTTTGATTGCTTGGGAAGTAGTATTTTAATTTGAACTTGACTGTTACACTTACTTTTTCTTCTACTTGAGAATTGCTTTCCTATCTTCCAAAAAATACAACTCAAGCAGACTGGTTCAAGAAACTGCCAAATCACCAGCTCTGTGCTGTTTCCATTGCCCACTTCTTTCTTTCTACCCCTTTTAGAATTTCTTTTAAAAAAAAATCAGAAAAATAAAACTCTGGGATTTGTATTTGCCTCTTGGACCACTGAGAATTGTTTCATTATTAGGGAAAAAGGTAAAAAAAAAWTTAGGAACTGGGYCTCTTGTACACTGACATCKACAKCCAGGATGTTYTCCTTAGCACCTACTGTTCCAAGTCAAATTATTTAATATCATTTGTGTATTTCAGCTTATTTCCATAATTTTAAGTACTTGGTTTGTTAAATCTGAGAATTGCAAAGGATTTGCATGCTGTAAAAGTCTCTGCTAAATAGAGTTAATGTGTTAAATAGCTTTGCAGTATGCTTCACACTCTTACTCCTTGGTTTTATATTGCTTTCCTGAAATCCTGCTAAGTTTGGATGGGTGTGTTGATTTTCTGATTTCTGGACATCACTTACTTGCAGAAGTCTGGGGCTGTCTTCTTGTTCTAATATGATTACCTTTCTGAAATATTCCACTATTTCTTCTGTTCAAATGTAACCAGGAAAAGCTGTGTTTAATATTAATAGAACACATAGAACAACAGGGAAGATAAAGGTCCCCATGTTTTATTTCAATATTTAAAGGAGGACACTTAGATCCACTCTGCTGACTTGCAGTGGTGTTTATMCTCTTCTTTACAGAAAGCAAAGAATCTGGAGGTTACTTGTGTAGAAAATACAGCAGATCATCTAATTTCCAAGACTGTCCTTGTGTATTCCAGGTTTTATAAAAGCTTTTTATAATATAACTTCAAATAAGATCACGTTAATTCTGCCAGAACTTTGGCAGCTTCWTCAGTTTTGTCAAGCATAATAAAAAGCTTTTCATGTGTTTAGCTTATTGTATTTAGTGGTTTGTTTTATTTTTTTTAGGTTGTTCACAGAGACCTGAAGCCTAGCAATATTCTTTATGTTGATGAATCTGGGAATCCAGAATCCATTCGAATTTGTGACTTTGGCTTTGCAAAACAACTGCGAGCAGAAAATGGGCTTCTGATGACTCCATGTTACACAGCAAATTTTGTTGCACCAGAGGTAAAATSCAGGATAGTTTATATGCCTTGATTTGTTTTACTGGGATTTTGTTGCTAGCTAAATCTTTTTTTCATTCTTGTGTGACAAATAGAATCACTTCATAAACAGTAAAAATTTGAAATTTTACTATTTGTATAGCATAATCAAAGCATTTCTAAGCACTCTTCAGAAAAAAAATATTTGTCTCCCTCAGGTTTTAAAGAGGCAAGGTTATGATGCTGCATGTGATATATGGAGCCTTGGTGTTCTACTTTATACCATGCTGACTGGGTAAGCATAATTATAGTTTGCTTCACTGGAGAATAAAACAATACAAACAAAAACAATAATAAATGTGGGCCCACTGTTGCAGGTGTAATCAAAGCACTGATTAATCTCAACTTAAAGGCTGAGAATATGCTTTGTCTTTAGTAGAATCCAAGTTTGCAGGGAGCAATGTGAAAAATTCAGCCACTGAATGTTTGAAGTGATGCCATTAGGATATAATAAATGCACTAGAAARGCATTTTTATACACAATTAATTGTATATAAGAATTAATTATATATAAGAATTATATATATATACAAGAATTATATTTATATAAGAATTATATAGAATTATATGTATATAAGAATTATATATAAGAATCTTATATATATAAAATTATAAGATTTTAGTTATTTAATTATAATGAATTCTTATATATATAAGATTCTTATATATAAGATTATATAAGATTATTATATATAATCATATATAAGGATTAATTATATATAATTTTATATATATAAATTTATATAATTAATTGTATATAAGATGATGAATAATATATTGAACTACAGTTCCACAAGTTCAAAAGATAGTTCCTATTGCATCTGTTAAATAGATTACATTTTTATGCTAGGTTATTCAGATTGCCACTTTGGTTAAGAGTTATCATCAAAGAGATTTTTGTATTTTAAAATAAGTAAGTGATAAACGTTTGCTTTTAAGTATATCTCTTTTTTTGGTTGGGGATATTGTGGTATGGGTATGTATAGTGAAGAAAGGAAAATAAAATTCCCATAAAAGGAATTTATCCTTTTACAGCCATTTGACAATCTTGTCTATAATTACATTGAACTTACTGAATCTTGCAGTCAGATTTATAATATTTATATTGAGGCCCAGGTTATGGAAGTTACTAACATTGAATTTGTTTGGTTAAAAAGCTACACTCCTTTTGCAAATGGTCCTGATGACACCCCAGAGGAGATTCTGGCCCGAATAGGAAGTGGAAAGTTCTCTCTCAGTGGTGGTTATTGGAACAGTGTTTCAGACACAGCTAAGGCAAGTGTATTTGGGGGTTAGGAATGGATTGCAATGTAATATGTTGATTATAATCTATGTTATATCATATGTGATTGGGTAAGTTCCACTCATTGTTATTTTAAAATATTGATCTAATCCCTTATGTGCCTAGAATTCTGTTTCCTATTTTTGATCCTTTCATGTTTCAGCAGTCACTTGCATGTAGGAGGAAAAACAGGTGTAATACATATTTATATTATTACATCCTATGTTATTGATATATTAATAAGAGTAGGTAATATTCATTGATATATTGCTAATCATTACCCTACTGAAAATATATTGAAAATACCAAACTCATATATTGGTGAAAATACGTTAATTACTTTTTTAACCTGTCACTATATTATTATATTATATTTTTTATCCYTTATATAATTTAGTTATATAGTTTTCCATGTTATTATTATACAAATGTATTAATTATATCACTATAATATATAGTGTATATTATATATAACATTGTCATATACAATACAATAGTCTTACTCTATAGTAGATAACARCTGTGCTTAGAAATACAGTGTTTAATCAGTATTCACATACACAATTATCCATGGTGACAATTTTAATAAAACTGCATGTGGAAACATGACATTCAAAAATCAGGTAGTCTAAGGCATGATAATGAAAAAAAAAATAATACATTTTTTTACTGCATTTATGGAAAATAAAAATTTTATACAAGATTTTTGAGAAGGCTGTTTTAGACAGCAAATAGACTCTTAACTTCGGTGTGCAATATATGCCCCTTCTATATGGATATTTAAAATGCTGAAATTTTCTTGTTTAATTGGATTCCTTCCTTTTGTGTTGCCAAGTGTCTATTAAATCACATAATTAAAAGATAAACTGTTAACATTGGTAAGTGATTTTTCATTTGTTTTAAGCTGACATTACGAACATATTTTATACCTTTGGATTCTTCTTTTGCAGTTTTGAACCATTAATCTGTTTTAAAGCTGAAGTTTTCCTGTTCTTTCCATTGACCCTTTGTTGACAGGACCTTGTTTCCAAAATGCTTCATGTTGACCCTCATCAAAGACTGACTGCAGCCCAGGTTCTCAGTCACCCCTGGATTGTTCACTGTGACCAACTGCCTCAATACCAGCTGAACAGGCAGGATGCTCCCCATTTAGTGAAGGTAGGCAGATATTTCTTCTGTTTAGCCCAAATTAATGTAAACAATTATGGGATAACATGTATCTCCTCTAAATACTTTGTAAAAGTTGCTATGAGCTAATGTTGCACTAAGCCATAAAATGAACTTGTAAWATGTAATAGGATTTAATGAGAAACCACTTACAGGGAATAAATCTAATACATTTGAAAAAKACTTTCATTTTCTTTTGTTTGAAATCTATTGGACTTAGTTACACTGGAAGGCTTAACTTTCAGAAAACAACATAAATCATTCTTCCCATAGTGAAAAATGTCAGGTGACTATAGAAGAGCTGTAAAATKGTTTGCTAACTTTACAGTTTCAAAGGAGGGTAATTGTCAGTAACTGAAGGAAAACAGAATACTTTGTGATCACAGTAAAAGCTGAAGAGAAGTCAAAAGAGCAGTGTTAATTACTATGGTATCATTCTTCTGCACTCTGAAACAAAATCTGGTTTTACCCCTGAAAGTTTTTCACTTTGAACAAGCAGAGGAAAGTAAGAAATAATTTAATTCTACTTCTCTGTAATCAACCTTGTTTTCAGTCCTACTTCCAAGAATTTCTTGTGCAACATAAAAAAAGATCTGAAAAATACAATTAATACTCTGAGTCAGTTATTAGAAAATTCTAGCATCCAGAAACACAAAGAAAGTGGGGGAGTTCTGATCCCACAGCTCACAACTTTCTACAGTTTTTAAATAAATTTCACGTGCTGAATAATGTGTATGATTTTTAAATATTTTATTGAAAACTGAAATATTTAAGTGATAAGCAGAGACAGTCTACCAATGGCATTTCTCACATACAACATAATGAGGGAACTTAACCTGGCAATTTAGCTTATACCTTCTGGTTTTGACTCTTTAAGCAATGAAAAACTATTTATTACCCAAAAAACTACTGGTTTCTAATACTGCTAGGACTTGAGTAATGCAACAGTATGTTTTATAGATGAAAATAGACTGGAAGTTAAAACTTGTTGAGAGTGTTTCTCAGTATTTAGCACTGCTAAAACATAGTTATGACTGTTCTTTTCCTCTCTACCCCACAGGGTGCAATGGCAGCAACTTATTCTGCTTTGAATCGTAATCAATCACCAGTTTTGGAGCCAGTTGGCCGTTCCACTCTTGCTCAGAGGAGAGGTATAAAAAAAATCACCTCAACAGCCCTGTGAAATGACCTCAAGCAGACATTGGTACCACGGCATAAGATGATAGCACAAATGATAGCGCCAGGTAGCACATCTCTGACAGATACCTGCAAGCACATTCTGGCCCAGCTGGTACCTAAAATGCTGCTGCTGCTGCTGCTGCTTTCATCTATCTCGCTTCAAACTGTTGATGGCAAKTTACTGATCTTACTGGAGCTGCAAATGGAGTGAGGAGTGGAAAGAATGGAAATGATCACGTTCGCGCGACTGAATAAACCGGGAGAATTACAAATGCCACCTCTGTCAAAAATACACTGAATAAAGCACTCTGCACCACATAGCATTATTTTTATAAGGAATATTTTTTTTTTTGTCCCCTAAAATATTCTTTGTTACAGGTCGAGATGGACAGTTTATGTTAAGCACTTAGCTTAAACAATCTGTTTRTATTAGCACTATATACTTCGTGCCATCCAACGTTTTGTATGTTTTTGTAAACAGTTCACAAGCAGTACATTTCTGTGCTGTTTTCTTTAATGTATACATGCCTTGTTTTACTTAGATATTATTAATCATGATGACAATTACATCTGATTAAACAGTTCACCTGGATTAATCAGTATTGTTGGACAGCTCTAAAAGAAGCCTGACTGTTAAACAGCTATTGAATGTAATACTATGGATAAGTAGTTTTCCTTGCCTGTGTCTTTTCTACATTTCTGTGTTTTTAATGCCACATGTCATGTTATGGAAATGAGGATATTGTTTATAGTACTCAAAATTTAAACAGTGAATCTCACCATACTATATATACTATAGGTAATATAACCCAGAGAAAAGATAATTTGCTCTGTATCTCATTGTCTTTGTTACCCCTCCCCTCCCTTTTAGTCTCTCCTATCTAATCTCTGGACTCAGGAATTACTGCTAAATACTTTCTGATAGAGGACATTTCTGTATGGTTTATTCTTGTAATCCATTGTTAATATTTTATCTGTATTCTATGACTTGTGTTTAAGCTGCAAAGGATTTGTTCAGTGAATGAATGTTGGCATTATAGAAAAAAAGGCAACATTTGAAGATAAAGCAAAACATATTGGTCACTAATRAGCAGAAGCCTGCAAAAAGTAGGTTTAAACTGCATTCATCTRATGTTGTCAGTTATTTGCTGATAATTTTAATTGACTGCAAGGGCAAAATGAGAAGTAAATCATAAAGATCTGTTGAGTGAGAAAAGGGCCATTTTAATTYACCTTGAAAATAGTGTTGTCCCAGTCAGGTAAGATGAAGCCATTCAGAGGGAACATTGTCACTTTTCCACAGATGGAAGTGAGTTCACAATGAGGGTGGAAGGCTCACTTTAAATACTGATATATACTTGTAATAATCTTGGCTTTTTGGTGTCTCAGGTAATTTAAGGCCCATCTTGATGGCTGGTCTTGAAAAGATGAAATTGCCCAAATGAGAAGGGGAACTGGAATGTGTTTGAATACAGTGAGTGAARTGTTCCATTCCACCAAAATTACACTGTGTAATGTCCTTCCAGATACAAACATGTCTATTGAGAATTCCAGCTTTAATAAAATATGGATCTGGGTAAACAGCTATTGGTGAACAATGCAATTTTAAAACTAAAATGCAATTTTGTGTTTTGCCTCAGAAGGTATTTTCTTGGTTTAGTGGTATTAAATTTCTTTTATGGTGATTAATTGGCTTATTTCCCTGAAATGATCAGAGGTTTGTTGAAAGGGAGAATCATCTTTGACACCACAGATTTACTCTAAATGARTGAGAGAATTTYTGAGTTCCTAGGGGAAGYTCYCTTTGCTAGCCTTGYRAAGGATCCCACTTTTATTGCCCTTWAAAATCTGTSAAGTATTTAATCCATTATACAATTGTGGAGAAATTGGTTTTATAAACAGATTCATAAATTAGCATAGCTCTCAGAAATTTGAACACACAGCTCTTCCTAAGCAATTAGTATTTTTTTCCTTATTTGGTGCGCTAGCATTGAAATTCCCTTTAGCTGTACAAATGCATCTACCCTTCCTTCAAGAAACATCTTTATGTAGAGACARAAAGAGACCATCTTAATTTTTTTCTGATAGTGTCAGCAGTTCCAGAGGAATTTAGTAAAACCTTACCTCTCAAAAAAAAAATTATTTTTCAGCACTGTGAGCAATTTTAAGTCAGGCTTCTCAAAATCTAGAAACTGTACCTTCTGGGGGGGTGTTAAGGTGTTTATTAGAAGATTGTCATAATCAACAAAATTATTTAAATACTGTTAAAATAAAAGGATGGCAGTACTTGCCAGTGTGTGGGGAATAACATTTCACTTCAGGAAGGAGTTCTACTCTGTTCAGTTTGTGTATATAGGTGCCTGGCAAAGARCAGATATCTGAATAGAAGAAGTGTTAAACTGCCTCACTATTGGCAATAYCCACATTAAAATAAAAGTACTTTCWGTRGTTTTATYGTAGCCATATTTTATGGTCCTCAAGCTCACTCATCATTAGCCAAATAGTGAAGCAAAGTTAACTCCTGCATTTTATGTATCTACATTCTCAAGTGAGCTGTTAATGTAGTCTAGACTTTACAGATGTTGCTATTAAGTCATGTATATGTATCAGCAGAGCATGAACATTTTAAATTGTAGCAAAACAGGGCAGTTTAGCACACCCTAAGTTGAATGTGTTTGAGTCTACATCCACTATATTTTTTTTTAATTTACTKTCTAAACTGAGGTATAAAGGGCCTGCCTATGCAGGGAGGTTTATTTTACAAGCTAGGTGTGGTTTACGTACCTTTATTCCTGGTTTGGATCCATGTTCACAACTTTCACGTTTATTTTTATGTTCTTGTAGCTGCAGTTGTTACAACCTATAAAAAAATCCATATAATGCTTCTTAGAGTCCCAGCACCTTTCTGTTAGAATGTGAGTWTATGACACACTGTGTACATTCACTGCTGGACTGCAAAGTGACTCAGTCATAGCAGATAAAAAAAGGAGAATGCAGATACAGGTGAATTGTCTATATGTTGACCATGGTTTGTTTTTCATTCTTTTAGTGTGAAATTACCATTTACTGTGCTTGAGAGCATAAGGGAATGCAGGGAAGAGTTGAAATACTCATTAAATGTCATCTATATCCAGTAAGGGCAAAGTTCTGTATTCATAATCACTATAACATTGAATGAAACTTATAAGGAGTTTTTCAAGAAAATATTTAAAACTTTTTTTCTAAAGAGACAAGGCCATAAGAAAATAGTTTTACGTGTCTGGGATTTTTCTTTTTTGTGTGTGTGTGTGTGTGTGTTTTGCTGTTGTAAATGTGGTGTACCAACTAAAGCTGTGCTTTTCTATTATTGGAGATAAAGGATTCAAAGTGTGCTGGCCCTTAGTGAGCAGCAATGGGTAACAGATGAATTTTCACTTATGAAAACAATGTAAATGATTAGCTTTATCTTGATACTCTTGACCTAATCAAAGGGAAGGTGTACGTATGAGGGATGTAATTATTTTGCAACCTAGTTGGGGGGGGAAGTCTACTTAGACAATTTTTAAAAAATGACAAAATCACAGATAAAATATTTTTCTACGATTCTATACAATCATACTTTATACTAGTTTTCTCAGCATGGCATGTAAGTGAGTCTAGGGTACTGTTCCAGGAAATCAGTGGTATTGTACCTTGTTCTAGACCATTACAATAGCATCTGTTAGATGCTTGGCACTGCTGTAATAGAACTGAAATGCTAGTTWAAAAAAAAATAATTAATTGTACTGAATACTTTAAATGATTGTTTTATTCAGAGTCTGATCTAAGAGATGTTCCAATCATGCTATTAATGTGTAATTAAAACTGTTCCAGATGTAACTATGAACAGTTTKGGAAAGTTATCATTGCTTGTTTTCCTGTCTAATGGCAGGTTTTGTAGTCTTCAAAAGAAATTGAAATTTCTACTATGAATAAACTTTCAAACATCTTAAAGGGCTGTTTTATGTGATCATTTCTTCTGAACAGTTACAAAAGTCCTTGCTTGTTCATCACTAACTCTGAACAACCTTCACAGGTTGAGTGTGCTTTGCCAGCCAGAAAGGGTTTGTAAAAATCAACTCTTATCAATTTTAGCATACTGAAGGGTAAACATGGAGAAAAAGGAAAAGCACTCATGTTCAGCGGTGCTTACAGACCTGATCTAAGATACAAAAAGCCCACAGTGCAAGGATATTGGTTTTTAGTACCTTGTGTGGATTCCAGTCAGCTCTCAAGTACCACCCAAAGGGAYTGTGCTCAGTAACTCTTGCAATGCCTGCATTGCCCTGGACACTGAAAATATGGGCTTGTTGAATAATAATCCACTTGGTAAACATTTGAAAAGCAAGATTATATGCAGAACTCCATAAATAACAAGCCCATTTTTAGCAGCTCATRCAACTTGGAAGCTTACAGCTGTGATTCTTTTTAATGATGAAAGATTTTCAAAGGTTCCGTAGTCTACAAAAAGTTTGCAGAAATTGTGATTTGTGAGGAATGTAAACAGAGGTCTTGCTAAGTGTACCCAAAAAAAGGCATCAGAGGAGATGAGAGGTTCGGCAATGGGCGCTGGGCAATGTTCTCAGTGAAATTCGCACGTGGGATCAGAGGTGTGCGCACAAAGCTTTACCCTGCCTGTCTARAAACATTTTCAAATTTATTTACAAGTTACCTGGATAAGTTTTAAGTCTCCAGAAACTACAAAGGCAGAAAGGGGGACCAATATAGCACAGCTCCTGCTGTCAGCCTTCCTCACCTTCACACCCTCTGACTCACGGAATCCCAGAGTTTGTGTTGGAATGGCGTTTGAGAATCTCCCGGKTCCAAAGCCGCTGCCGTGCAGGGACAGCTCAGAGCAGGTTCCTCGGAGCCTCATCCTTGAACATCCCTGCGAGGACAG